ATTATTAATTAATTCTAGCATAATAATTTTTATTGCATGATATAATATGCAAAATAAGAAAATTACAAGGAAAATTAAATACTGAAAAAGTAGCTAATTGAAAATTGTCGAGTTATAGTTGCTCTCTGTGAGTTTCCATTGCCAAGATATTTGGTCAACCAAAAAATGCATTCTACTGATCCTTGCTTTGTACCATTGGTCCTTAATAAGACCACTGTGCAGGTGAAATTAATGTGGACATTGTAATAATTATTGAAATGCTCAACTTGGTCTCATCTAATTTTTTGCTAACATTTGTCTTTGCTATCTGTCATCAGCATTGTGACAAATACTGGGGAATACAAAAACCTTACTGATACTAATGTGGCTGCAGGCAATAACATCATTGTTTATCATATACCTTGTAATGCCCTACCATGTAAAGCTATGGGAAACTCAATGAACAAGTGTGCAGTAATTAATCATGTCTGGATCTGTTTGACTATATTTGGAAGATTATTAACTTGCCAATTGCACCTATGTAAAAAATACTGCTTTTATATAATTTTAATATATATTATTATATAATATGAATGGAGACACCTTAAATATAGAATATTGTATGCTCTATTAGTAGTGCCTATGTAAATTACAGAGGTGTATCAATCGGCAAAATAAGTGATGTTTTGATGATGAACATACAACAAAAGCAAATTTTTGTTTAACTGCGTTTCCGTTGGAACAAATACAGTACTTATAGTTATCCGTAAATAATGACTGAGAACAAATGCTTTGTATTAGTAATTAGTAAGTTATAACACAAAAAAACTGTTTGAGTATGCACTTTGTCTATTGCCTTTAAAGCGTCTAGATCATATGACTGTACTATAATTAGTTCATGCACTTTGTGATATCTTTGTCGTATTAAATCTCACTACACTTATGTTTGTTAATTGATATACCTCTAAAAATATCCTAAAGTCTGTAGGAGTGTTTGTAACTATTTCTTTTAAACTTGGTTTAATTAATGGAATTTAAAATACTTTGTTTTCGCTATTTTCGCTGAAAGAATGATTCAGTGAAAATAAAATCCAGCGAATTTATATTTTACATGGAACTCGTCAAAAATCAGTGAAATAAGTTCCATACAAAACACCCAAAAAGTCTTTTCAGTGAAGCTTAATTCCAGTGTTTTACAGTATTTGATATATTCTATGAAGCATCAACATCATTTTGGCAATGGTCCAAGATGTACAATCATTCAATTAGATTTCAGACTACAAAAGTTATTCTTTGAAATGCCACGACAGTAAAACACATTCGTTGTTCACTTTTCATATCTGAAAATTCATTCCTACAATCTGTTCACCTTCTGCATTTCAAGTCTGAGACAACCACCATTTCTTTTTTTCATTGCAGTATAAAATCCTGTTTGTGTACTTTCCAACGTATTATAATTAAACTCTAGCTCATATTATTAGTATTTCAACATTTTTTTAAATGTAAACTATTTGAAAAAAAGTATTTTTTGTCAAAAAAAAAACATTTCATGAACAAAAACTTGATTACCCATTTGTATTGACTATAAAGGATATATTTAACTTTATTTCATTTAAGTCATTACTTTTAATGTTTTTAAAGATGTTCGCTTCCATCTCTCCATAAAAATAAAAAAGTGATGTTCCCTCCATTTTGTAACCTGACCTCTCTGTATTAAAAATAAACTCACCCTGTCATGATGTCAGAATGATCAATGGCTGAATGGAAATGTACTGCAGAATGACCTGAAAATGTGAACTTTGTGGAATTTGTTATGGTTACCAGCTGCTAAAAGTCTCTAATCTACTTACTGATCAGTTGATCTATGGTCAAGGTTTGTAATAATGAAATGTTGTTTTAAATTAACGATATTAGTTCATCCAAATTGTTATTGAAAACAACTCAAAAACACTGTTTATTTATTGCTGATACTGAAATTCATTCCTAAATTACATTTAGAGAACATTACATTTTAGGGTTTTCTCAATTTTGAATTTGTTATGCTGCTGGCTTGTTGATGTTTGGTATATTCTATAAGTAGATGATGCACATTGTAATGTAGGTCAATACATATGTGTAGCATATTTTGTGTCCCTAATTGTTAATTATTTTGACGTAAGAACATTAGTAAGTGGTCTCACTGCTGTGTATTTTTACTCTGTTAGCTTATGCCAATTTGACTATTATTTGAGTATTATAAAACAAAAGACCTGCATATACCTCACATGCTTCACAGAGAAATTATCCTATTTTCATGTGTTAATTATATCTTACAACACTATTATGTTTGTGATGTGATGTGATGTGATGTGATATGGTTGATACATTGTACACTAAGGAAATATAGCATATATATTTTGGTGGTATATTATTGTGCACTTCTGATATTAGACTCACCGTATGCATGTACGATAAATATTGATCTTGATGCTTTCAAAACCAACTTCTCAATTTGAAAATTTGAGATTTATTGTGTACATTACAGTGGAAATAGTTATACCCGGTATATGTCTCTGTTCCAAGAATTCTATACATTCCTGTAGCAGTAGTGCTGTCAATTCTCGCTGGTGTGACGTAATAAATAATCAATTAGATTTCCATTTGTTGTTCTGTGGAGATGTTTGTGTGCCGGTGCACGTCGTGCTGTAGGGCTAAAAATTAAAGAGGCCATCAAGGTAATTGTCTTGATACCTTACCTGACTGCCTAGATACCCTACTTAACTTTCTTGGTCTCATTAAGTTTCAATGAAACCAAAGAATTTTCAGCATATTTTGCCTCCAAAATGGGTGACAACCTCTCAATTTTGAAGTTCAAGTCCTGTTGTTGTAATTGCATTTGGCTGTGAACAGTCAACAGTTGCATGCCTGCATTGCATCACATGTTCGAATTTCATGTAAAGAAACAAGGACTTTTACACACGTTCTATACATTGCTGTGA